GAAAAGCTAAGCTAAATACCCCTCAATTTTCATTTATATCTGAGATCTTTGAAGACAGTATCCCTAAAACGTCTCCACACTCACTATAAGCATCTTTAACAAAAACTTCCCTTGTCTCGTTCACCATGACTCACCTGGAGTCACACCTTTGGACAGTTTTTCCTCCATCATCCAGGGCTCTTTTCCATCCTCCAATAATGTGATCACATATGGCTTAGTAATGGAAAGACCTGCTTACAGGAAGAATATAGAATTGCTTAAGCTGCGGTCCTCTATTACGAGAAGCCATCACAAGAGGTACCACAGGAAGGGATGAAGGGTGTTCACTGACATGGAAAGATAAGCTTCAGGCAGGGCACAACAGAGCTACACATTTCCTTGGGAACATGGTACAGAAATTCAGCCACTTACTTGGGAGGATCTCCAGCAATTCAGAGTGACAAAAGAAAGGTGTCCCCTATTGGAGTAGAAGGGGTGATATCCTTACCTAGAGAGACCAGGATCTTGTAATTCTGGACCATCACATCCTTGTATAAATCCCTTTGAGCAGAATCTAGCCATCCCCATTCTTCGTGAGAGAAGTGTATAGCTACATCACTAAATGTCACCTGAAATGGCAAATACATTTAGGTTCAACCATGGCACAGACCTCTTCTGTCACTGAAGAAGGGGTAAAATTAGGCTGGTTGTGGAAGAAATAGAACAAGATTCAGGAGTTGTGACAATGATTGGGAATGTGATCTCAGTTAAGTAATAACAGGATAGTTATATAGACAGAATTATTATATAATAAGGGGCACAGTTATGTGCTTAGGATTATTATACAATAAGGGTGAGAGACAAATAGAGCTTTGCTTCAGTGAACTTTTTAAAAGTTATAGAATTATACAAATTTTTAAAAATCAGCATTTAACATTTGACAGCACAGAGTCAAGTATTTAGTTATATCTTTTACATTAAGTAATAGGCAAGTAATTAAAAAATGAGGCTAAAGTGATTGTTCCTCAAATCAGATACTCAGGATGATCTAATAAGGCTCACAAAAAATGGGTTCAGAAAAAAAGACATCCTTTTATTAAAGACCGATAAACATACATTGTTATGGTTTGACTGTGTCCCTCAAAAAGCATGTATTGAACTTAATCACCGTTGTAACAGTACTGAGTGGTGAGACCTTTGGAAAACGAATAGGCCTAGAGAGCTCTGCCTTCGTGAATGGATTAAGGTCATCATCATGGGAGTGGGTTCCTATTTAAAAAAATTAGTCCAGGCATCCTTTTGCCTCTCTCTCTTCTCTCTGCCCATCCACCATAAAAGGACACAGCAACAGGGCCTTGCCAGATGCCTGCCCCTTGATCTCGGAGTTCCCAAGCTCCAAAACCATGAGAAGTCAATTTCTTTTCTTTCTTTTTTCTTTAAGAAAGCTAAAAGCAGGCCCCAATCTTTTCTGGCTTGTAAAATGTTTGCTGAGAAGTCTGCTATTCGTCTGATGGGATTTCCTAAATATGTAACTTTTTCCTTTTCTAGACTGCATGGAGAAAGCTCTCTAAAAAATGGCACTACATCCTCAGGAATGGTTCTTAATCAGACAGCGATGGTGGAAATGACAGATGTAGAAATCGGAATCTAGATGGCAACGATGATTGCAATTCAGGAGAAAGTTGAAACCTAACTTGAGGAATCTCAGGAATCCAGTAAAAGGAATCAAGACCTCCAGGGGAGAGAGTTCGGTGGTGGTGGCCAGGCAGGAGAACCACCAACCTCTGTTGCCCAGGCTGGAGTGCAATGGTGTGATTTTGGCTCAATGCAACCTATGCTTCCTAGGTTCAACAGATTCTCCTGTCTCAGCCTCCTGAGTAGCTGGGATTATAGGTGCCTGCCATCATGCCTGGCTACTTTTTGCATTTTTAGTAGAGACAGGGGTTTCAACATGTTGGCCAGGCTTGTCTCGAACTCCTGACCACAAGTGATCTGCCACCTCATTGCCTCAGCCTCCTAAGGTGCTGGGATGACAGGTGTGGGCCACCGGGCCCAGCCGAGAAGTCAATTCCTACTGTTTATAAATTACTCAGTCCATGGTATTCTGTTACAGCAGGAGAAATGGACTAAAATATATGCATAACTGATTCATAAAAAAGAAAAATATATTTATGGTGTATAAACTCTGCATTGACAGACATTTAATAATTAAAATATGATACCCCTGGGTGAAAAGACTGAAGGATGGTTTCATGCCATTGATCAGGGGTCCTTAAACCCCAGGCCATAGACTGGTATCAGTTTGTGGCCTGTTAGGAACCAGGTCATGGCCGGGCGCGGTGGTTCATGCCTATAATCCCAGCACTTTGGGAGGCCGAGGCGGGTGGATCACGAGGTCAAGAGATTGAGACCATACTGGTCAATATGGTGAAACCCCGTCTCTACTAAAAATACAAAAAAAAAAAAATAAGCTGGGCATGGTGGCGCACACCTGTAGTCCCAGCTACTTGGGAGGCTGAGGCAGGAGAATTGCTTGAACCCAGGAGGTGGAGGCTGCAGTGAGCCGAGGTTGCGCCATTGCACTCCAGCCTGGGTAACGAGCAAAACTCCGTCTCAAAAAAAAAAAAAAAAAAAAAAGAACCAGGTCACACAGCAGGAGGTGTATGTCGGCCAAGTGAGCATTACCACCAGAGCTCTGCCTCCTGTCAGATCAGCCATGGCATTAGATTCTCATAGGAGTGCCATTTCTACTGTGAACTGCATATGCAAGGGATCGAGGCTGCACGCTCCTTATGAGAATCTAACCCGTGTCTAAGGATCTGAGGTGGAACAGTTTCGTCCCCAAACCACCACCTCCACGACCTCCCACTTCTGTGGAAAAATTGTCTTCCATGAAACCGATCCCTGATGCCAAAAAGCTTGGGGACCCCTGCCATAGATAGTCCTTACACAGGACCAGAAACTAAGAGGAAAAAATAACAGAGTATATTTCAAAGAAAATATTCTAAGGAAATACTCACAGATGTGCTTAGAAATTCCTCTCAGTAGTACTCATTTCACAGAATTTAAAATAGTAAAACTTTAGAAGCTTAAATATTCAATAATAGCTTAATCGCTAGTCAAATTATGTGCAAAAAATACATCCACTTAATACAACATTATTACGGTCTTTGATTTGTGAAACAGACTGCCCTACTGTGGTAGTTTTTTTTTTTTTTTTAGCTCTGAGAGTTAATTCAGTATTGTATTACTTATTTGGATATTTTACGTGCATGTTCACCAGTGACACTGGTCTTTGGTTTCAAAGGCAGAATTTACTTTTGCCAGGTGTTGGGAAAATAAAATTCAAATCTCCTGCCAAGGGCAGAAAATCCTCTCCACAAATGCAGAAAAGAAAGAAAACAGTTTTATTTCTGAATAAGCATTAAATCAACTGTGATGCACTTCACGGGCAATCCAATAATGAGATTAAAACAACAGGAAGACATCTCACTCATCCTTTTGTATTGCCAAGCAAATACAATCCAATACATACGCTTTCCAAATAAACAATAACTTATCTTCAAGTAAGACTTGACAGTTCAATTTGCTACACATTATTTACCCTAAATTCACTTGTTAACTGGAATTGATACCGTGTTAATTGCCTTTATCCTAAATAAAAATAACATTTCTCATAGCTTTATGACAAACCAGTCATTACAAGTTAGAGCCAGTGACGCTTCTTTCTTCCCCCACAGTTACCTGGGCAGCCTGCAGTATTCACCCATCTCTGTCCCCAAAAGAACACAGGATATCTGTCCTAGCATTTATTATAATTTCTAATGCTTTCTTACTTTCCTACCAGTGCTGCAATCCTCAATACAGTAGCCACTAGCCAATTTGGCTACATACATTTAAATTAATTAAAATGTAAAAATAAAACAAAGAAAATTTAAAATTCATTTTCTCCATTGCTTAAGCCATAGTTCAAGTACTCAATAGTCATACGGGGCTGATGGCTACCATACTGACCAGTACACATGGAGAACACTTCCACCACCGCAGAAAGTTCTCTTAGACAATACTGCACTAGATCATGAAGTCCTGTGTGTCAGTGTACACCAAAATCCATGTTCAACTTTTCCTAACAGGTATTTCATAAGTGTTTAGAACATGAACCAATGAATGATTTTAGCATTAGTTCAATTTAGCCTTTACTTTTTTTTTTTTTTTTTTTTTAAGAGACAGCGTCTTGCTCTGTCACCAGGCTGAAGTACAGTGACATAATCATAGCCCCCTGCAGCTCCATACCACAGGGCTCAAGAAATCTTCCCACCTCATCAGCCTCCTGAGTAGCTGGCACAACAGGCATGTACCACCACACCAGTTTTTCAATTCTAATTATCTAATTTTTCCAAGAAAACAGACTTCACCCAACATGTACATCTGCTACCCACATCCCCTCCTGTGCAAGCTTCACCTTCCATGCCATGATTCTGCCCCACCAGTTCTTCATTACTCCTCTTATTCACTCCACAATTACTTACTAAGCATCTATTTGGTGCCAGGTACCACTCTGGGTACGGAAGCTATAACAGTCAACAAAAAAGAAAAAATATTCCTCCCACCAGGAACAGACAAACAATGAGCACGTAAATCTACTGAACATACAGTACATCAGCTAGTGAGTGACACAAGCCGTGGAAAACGACAACGCAATGATGGAGGAGTGGAAGTGCTAGGCGAAGGAAGGTGACTGCAATTGCAAACAGGCGTTCAGGGAAGCTCTTCCGAGAATTCACCACCGAGCAAACACACGAAGGAGATAAGAATGCAAGCTTGTGCATATGTGGGTGAAGAATATTCAGGTGGATGGCACAGCAACTGGTGACAGTGGCTGGAGCTCACAGGGATGAGGAGGCAGAGAAGGAAGGTGGGATCAGAGAGATAA